ACGTACCCTTAATCCTATTGTATTGCTTATTATATCTCTCATGCTATTTGTTTACATTGTTTCTCTCCATGTAATCCACCTTGGGTCTCAGTTAAAAGAGTGAATGATCAGGTAAATAAAATTTAAAACAAAATGCTGCTAAATCCTATTGTGGGATGTACGTTAATAGCAGGTATTGATACAAGGAGCAGACATGTAGGTGTGGGTAGATCCTACCAAGAGAGGCCAGTTTGAGACAACAATGAATCAATCCATTCCAAGTGGGTGAGCCACTCTTCACTTTAGGAGACGGGCAGAGTAAGATAAACATAAAATTTAATCAAGGAAGACACAGCGATAAGCAGAAGTAATTAACATCTGTCAAGGATGGGTCTTGCTGAGCTAACACCTTTAATGAAGGAGGAAACCCAAGTCTTTGTTCAAGCCTGGGGAGGTGATAGTACTGAGTCTCTTAGATAATAAGTTCTGTGATGCATTTTATGTTGTTAAAGTCAGGGGTCGTTTTGTAGAAAAAGAGGTGCAAGAGCTTATTAGCATAACTTATTTGCATATGCCACACCCCCTGACATCACCGGAAGTGTGTCAGAAGGCAACACCAACCGCTCAGGCTGTTTTGGATTGCGAGCTATTGGGGGGGGGGAACGTGCAGATCTGTCCTCGCAGAGGAGGGAGAGCTTGTACCTGAATAAAACCTGGTCTTAAAGGTGCCACTGGACTGTTTTGGACCAGGGGACTGTCTCTGCAACTTACCTGGCTGCTTCTTGCTCTGACTGAGTGCTGCTGGGAGCAGGGGATGGGGCTTGTTGCAAGTGCCCACCCCCTGGGCTCTTTACTGCCGGAGCTCCGCTCCTGTGCGCTCCTGCAGGAAATGACCCCTGGTTAAAGTAGTCAAATTAGCTTGTGTGTATGTATTAGGTACCCTCAAGTCGCTTATGGTGACCCTTGCTTGTCCCAGCAAGGCGGGATACAAATTGAAAATAATGAATGAATGAATGAATGAATGAATGAATGAATGAATGAATGAATGGACCTCCAAAGCATCCTCTCATTAACAGCCTTGCTCAGGTCCTGAAAACCAAGGGCCGAGGCTTCCTTGATTGAGTCAACCCATCTCCTCGTGGGTTTTCCTTTTTCCCTGCCAGTTTGGAGTCGTGGTTAAGAGCGGCAGACTGTAATCTGGAGAACTGGGTTCGATTCCGCACTCCTTCGCACGCAGCCAGCTGGGTGACCTTGGGTCAGTCACAGTTCTCTCAGAGCTGTTCTCTCAAGAGCTGTCCTCGAAAGAGCTCTCCTGGACCCACCGACCTCACAGGGTGTCTGTTGTGGGGAGAGGAAGAGAAGGAGATTGCAAGGCGCTGTGAGACTCCGAGTGGAGGGCGGGGTATAAACGGAACTCTTCTTTTCCTAGCATTATTGTCTTTTCCAGTGACTCTTTTCTTCTTCTCACAATGTGACAAAGCGATGGCGAACCTCAACAGCATGATAAAAAGTAGAGACATCACCCTGCCAACAAAAGTCCGCATGGTCAAAGCAATGGTATTCCCAGTAGTCATGTATGGCTGCGAGAGTTGGACTATAAGGAAGGCTGAGCGCCGAAGAATAGATTCTTTTGAACTATGGTGCCGGAGAAGACTCTTGAGAGTCCCTTGGACTGCAAGAAGATCAAATCAGTTAATCCTAAAAGAAATCAACCCTGACTGTTCCCTGGAAGGCCAGATAATGAAACTGAAGCTCAAATACTTTGGCCACCCAATGAGAAGGGAGCACTCACTGGAGAAGAAGACCCTGATGCTGGGAAAGACTGAAGGTCAAAGAAGACAGGGACGGCAAAGGATGAGATGGTTAGACAGTGTCATCGATGCAACGAACATGAAACTGAGCCAACTTCAGAGGACGGCAGAAGACAGGAGGGCCTGGCGTGATCTGGTCCATGGGGTCGCAAAGAGTCGGACTTGACTGTGCGACTGAACAACAACAACAAGTCTCTTGAGCTTCCAGGGATTTTATCTGCGCGATCACACAGTCAGCATCTGCCTCCCGTCCCCAGCCGTCGCTTTCCAGCTCAAATTCCCTTTAAACCGGAGTATTTTGATACCAGGTCCTCAAGTGGTGTTTTCCTGATTCTCCGTTTCCACCCGCGCTGTTCTGACGTCTGATCGCTCCTCCGGTCTCAAGCCACTTCCGGTTTAAACCCCCTCCCCGCTCGAAAGCTGCCCGAGGCTTCCGCTTTTCGCCCGCCATTTTTTTTAAAGCGTTGGCAGTGTGCGCCTAGGCGGAGCTCTGCCACCATGTTATCGAGAGCCAGTTTGGTGTAGTGGTTAAGTGCGGGGACTCTAATCTGGGAGAACCGGGTTTGATTCCCCACTCCTCCACTTGCACCTGGCTGGATGACCTTGGGCAAGCCATAGTTCTGATAACATAGTTCTTGAAAAAAGAGCAGTTTCTGTCAGAGCTCTCTCAGCCCCACCGACCTCACAGGGTGTCTGTTGTGGGGAGGGGAAGGGAAAGGAGTTTGTCAGCTGCTCTGAGACTCCCTTGGGTAGTGAAGGGCCATGGGGTATGAATCCAATCTCTTCTTCTTCTTCTTAAAAACAATGTTTAAACAGTGCCTAGTTTTAGCGTTTAGACGAGTTCGTGATTCTCAGGGAGGCCGTTTTCGGGGTAAACGTTTAAAGGGAACCGCTCCTTTAAAGTTTTAAGGGAAGTGTGACAGCGGTCGGGTTGAAGTGGAAATTGCTGTTCTGCGCGTGCGTGAAAATTTTAGTTCTACAGATGGCTGCCTGTGCGCATCCCCAAACTGAGAGAGAGAGAAAAACAACACTGACGCACGCTTCCACGTGTGGACGGTGGGGAGCGATGTGGCTGCGCAGCGATCCAGAGCAAGGAGGCGAGTGTGATCGCAATTCTCCAGGTTAAAAAGACCGCATCAGGGCCGGAGCAATTTAAACCGCTCCCAGCACGCCATCTGACCACACCCTTTAAGTACAGAGGAAGAGGGAATCATAACAACATGAGAAGCGGCTTGCTGGAGCAGACCAGCAGTCCATCTAATCCAGCATCCTATCTCTGACAGGAGCCAATCAGTTGTCCCCGAGATCCAAACAAAGAGGGCACTGAGGCCAAGGCCTTCCCTGGATGTTCCAAAGGAATAGCACAGTCCCCAAACAGTCAGGTATGAAAACAATATATACAGACATGTGCTAGATGCCCACAAAACAATACAACAACAAATGAGACTATATTAAAGCCATAACATATTTAGTGTCTGGTAATAAAGACTGCGATGGCTCAAGTGGTTAAGACGCTGAACTGCAGGCTATAGAAGGTCGGTAGTTCAGCAGTTTGAGACCCGGGTGCCGCATGACGGAGTGAGCTCCCGTCTCTAGTTCCAGCTCCTGGCAACCTAGCAGTTCGAAAGCAAGAAATTGCAAGTAGATAAATAGGTACCACTTCGGTGGGAAGGTAACAGCATTCCATGCGCCTTGGTGTTTAGTCATGCCGGCCACATGACCACGGAAACGTCTTCGGACAGCGCTGGCTCTTCGGCTTTGAAACGGAGATGAGCACCGCAACCCTAGAGTCGGACTCGACTGGCTTTCAAGCAAGGGAACCTTTACCTTTAATAAAGACTAACAACATAGTATATCACAGGAAAAATACAAAGGTCGATAGAAATTCACATGGCAATCTGCTCAAGTCTCTCTCAATCCATATCCCTCAAACAGTCTGTTGTCCTTATTCAAATTCACAAAAGCAGTCCACTAGTCTGCTCCAAATTCAATCTCTCTTTCAACACTTATTCTGGATATTTAAGTGTTTCAGACCTCTGGTCTTTCCTCAGGAACAAGTCCTATATAGGAATTTTACATTCAGTCTTACATTCCAGTAGACACTTTCATGGATTTGCTTTTCTGTTAATCTACTTGGGCAAGGTCTCCTCATTTCCAAGCGTGCTGAAACTGCTGCCAAAGTAAAGTGGACCAGTATTTTTACTCCTTGTGTGACACTTACTAGTTTTTTTTCTCCTTCAGGTTAACCAATTATTCTTTCCCGCACATCTGGGAAAGTGCAGGAGTAGGCAGTGCCCCCTAAGTCATCTGTTGGTTGATCGGGTCGAGGTTCAGCATCTGAATTGACAAAGGAGATTTGGGAGCAGAGCCTGTAGAGGGCAAATTTTGGGGAAGCAGGGTATAATGCCGTGGAGTCCACCCTCCAAAGCAGCCATTGTTCTCCAAGGGAACTGACCTGCGCGGCACTGGAGATCAGTAGTGATCCCGGTAGATCTCCAGGCCCCAACTGGAGGCTGGCAACACTAGTTTTTGCACAGGGGGCCGCCACCTTCCTACACTGCAGCGGCAGAAGCTGATAGCCCTGTATGCAGGTAGGGCCCTGACACCTAGGGAAGCTGATAGTGAAACAGATGTAAGACGCCGGTAGGTTTTTTTGTTTTATTTTGCTATTGTAGTTTGCAACTACACACTATCTAACCTTTGCAAATCATGCACGTGAACGGCCATGCAAAGTATGGCTTATACTACGCTGGACTGTATGTGTGCGTGAGCGCACGCGCGAATGCAGGGGTTTTTTTTGCAATGAGACCCAAATATCAGCCTTCTGCTTACGACTCAATCCGTCCGGCTCCGAAAGGGTTAACAGCCCCGCTTCCTCTAGTCCCCTTTCCCCCTCGGGGCGGCAGGGGGCGCTCCGAAGCGCCGCTTCCCCCCCACACCACCAATGAGGTCACGGCAGCCTCAGCCAGTAAGAAGAGGACCCTCCCTCCTTGGCGCTTCACCTCTAACCCCCGCCCCTCCCGCACGATAGCCAATGAAACAGCAAGAGAGGAAGCGTTATTGTTTTTTTTTCTCCCGCGGTCCAGTCCGCTCGGGCTACAGCGAGCCAATGAGAGGCGCCGAGGAGAACGGGCTAGCCAATGACTGATCGCCATTGGGTTCCGCGCGGCCAATCAGCGACGGCATCTGAAATTTGAACGGTCGTTTGGTGGAAGCGGAGGTTTGGTCGGTCGCTCGGTCGGAGGCTGGGGCTCGTGAGGGGATTTGGGTAAGTCGGGGCGGGGGGCACCCCCCAAAAGGTAAAGACCCCAGAAAGGGATACTGGGAAGGAAAGGCGGCGGCAGCAGCCCCCCCCGTTTAATAATACCCCACCTTTCTAACCCAACTATTTTCTCCTCCTCCATTATATTCTCACAATAACCCTGTGATGTCGGCTAGGCTGAGAGTATGGGACTGGCCACGGCAGAGCCGAGATTCGAACCTGGATCTCCCAGATCCTAGTCAACCTTCATTGTTGGATTCAGGGTGGGGCAACCTTGTTGGTCTGAAGCAGCAGGACAAAGTTTGAGGTCCAGGGGCACCTTTAAGCCCACCAAAGTTTAATTCTGGGTGTAAGCTTTCGTGTCCATGCACACTTCTTCAGATGCGTGGAAACAGAAGTCACCAGCCGTTACATATTTTATTTATTTATTTATAGATTCAATTTATAGCCCGCCCTCCCCGCAACGCGGGCTCAGGGCAGCTCACAAATAGGCATAAGCCAGCATATAAAACAAGCTAAAACCATATAAAATCATTACTACATGTTACAACAAGATAAGTAGCTGTTCCAGACTGATCTTCCATAAAGATGTCCTCACAAAAAATATTGCATTTTGTAAGACAGGAAATATCAGTCTGTACCTCTGCAAGTTTCTTTGTGAGGTTGATGGATTTCCATTGCATGCGGCTTAACGTGGTGCCCTCTAAATTCAGGTTGGGTAGCCGTGTTGGTCTGGATTAGCAGGAGAAAGTTTGAGTCCAGTGGCCCCTTAAGACCAACAAAGTTTCAGTCTGGGCTTAAGCTTTTGTGTCCATGCACACTTCTTCAGATACATGGAAACAGTAGTCACCAACCATTACATATTGCATTTTGTAAGAAAGGAAATGTCGATCTGTAGCTGTGCAAGTTTCTTTGTGAGGCTGCTGGGTTTCCATTGCATGCGGCTTAACGTGGTGCGCTCTAGATTCAGGTTGGGTAGCCGTTGTTAGTCTGAAGCAGGACAACAAAGTTTGAGTCCAGTGGCCCCTTTAAGACCAACAAAGTTTCAGTCTGGATAAAAGCTTTCCTGTGCAAAACAGACTTCTTTAGATACAATGAAATGGAATTCACCATGCATATAGGCAGAGGGTGAGCCAGTAAATTAGCATGCAGCATAATGAAGATATTTTATCAGATTCAGGAATAACAAGCTTAGTTTACATGGTTACCTGAAGAAGTTAGCAGTGACTAGAGATGTAAAATTTCTGGAAATTTTGAAGCTCGGGAAAAACCCCATTTCCCCCCCCCCCCGGGAAAACGGAAATTTTCGGGAAAATTGAAAAAATGCTACATTTTTAGATTGAAAATCATTCTGTTACTTTAGGAACATAAAATGTGACTATGGACATTTTTACTTGGCATGAAATTATCACAACTAGCATATTAAAAATATAATGTATCCAAACAATTATTTCAAACAGAATACCCACCCACATGCAACAACAAAACTGAAACTTTTTTATCTTCTTCTGACAATCGCACCTCCTAAAGGAAGAAATGCATCTTGTTCTTGCATTTGGGGGGAAAGTTTGTAACCTAGGACTTGTTTGTCCTCAGTGCACAGAAATTAGATCAATCTGATACTATATATATTAGAAATGATTTGGAAAATATTTGAACACCTTGTCTTAAAATATTTTATTTATCATGTTAAAATAAAATGTTCCATAATCAATTTTTTGGGAAAAAACAAAAAGGCTTCAGGAAAAAAACGGTTTTTTCCCGAATTGTTCCGGGTTTTTTTCCGGGCCTTCACATCTCCCAGGAAAGCTCCTACCCTGCCACATATCTTGTTAGTCTTTAAGGTGCTACTGTTGCTCTTTTCCATGGTTACCATTTGTTTGGGTTCAGTTCTGTGGGGGGGGGAGCCCAGGTTCGAATCCCACTCCCCACTCTGTCACAGGTGTGACCTTGGACCAGTTATTTCCTCTTACAGCCTAACCTGCTTCATAGGGTTGATTTATTTATTTGTGTTGTACATGGTCCTCCTTTCTCACTGAGACTAAAGCTGGATTATTCAGTGTGAGTCTACACAATCAACAAGATGGTTCATCCCATATACAGTGCAATAAGATTGGGATTGCAGAGGTCTGGATAGGGTCAAAACAAAGCGTAAGTGTTAATGTGGCACATTAGACCAGGGGTCTTCAATAAGGTTGCCGGGTCCTCCTTGGGCACTGGCTGGGGTGGGTGGGGGGAGGTAGCCAGATCCAGGCTGGGAAACTCCTGGCGATTTGGAGATGTAGCCTGGGGAAGACAGAGACCTCAGTGGGGTACAATGCCACAAAGCGTACCCTTCAAAGCATATGTTTTCTCCGGGGGAACTGATCTCTGTAGACTATCGCTGTTACAAGTAATAGTTCTGGTTCAAAGAGAAGTCTTTATATGTACAAATGAAGCTGCCTTGTACTGAATCAGGCCCTCAGTCCATCAAGGTCAGTGCTGTCCGTTCAGGCCGTGGCTCTTCAGGGTCTCAGGCAGAGGTCTTTCACGCCACCCACTGCTTGGTCCTTTTAGCTGGAGATGCCGGGGATTTCTGCATGCCAAGCAGAGGCACTTCCAGTGAGCCACAGCTCCTCTGTAAAGGGATACATATTTTCCTTTGGCATAAAGGTGTTCCGTACCTGCAAAATGAAGGCAGGTATTTCAATATAAGGCCCCTCACTTTCGATATTTGGAAGGCAGTTGAACAACGGTTTTGTTTAGGTTTTTGCATCTGACTAATTTAGCTTTTTGTTTGGAAAGCCAGTTTGGTATTTATTTATCTTTAGATTTGTATCCCGCCCTACCCCTGAGGCTCAGGGCGGCTAACAAGGGCACAGTGTGTCAAAATTAAAACAATAAAAACACATAATATAAAACAGTAAAATACAGTAACAAAATTAGACACAAGATGGGTAGATCTTAAACCTAATGGTAGCGTTACCAAAATCTATCATCCACTTCGTGCAGGGGCACCTTGCCCCCCCCCCAAGGAACCAGATAGTCGTGGTGATGGTGCGACAGTGCATAGGTGGCAATGGTGGAGTACTAGTGGCGGCAGCTCCTACTCAAAGGCCTGGCGGAAGAGCTCCGTCTTGCAGGCCCTGCGGAACTGAGAAAGATCCCGCAGGGCCCGGATCTCCTCCGGGAGCTCCTTCCACCAGGTAGGAGCCGCCACCGAAAATGCCCTGGCTCTGGTGTTGTGGTTAGGAGCATAGATTCTGATCTGGGAATACCAGGTTCGATGCCCCACTCCTCCACGTGAAACTGCTGGTGTGACCTTGGGTCAGTCACAAGTTCTCTTAGCGCTGTTCTCTCAGGAGCAGTTCTCGACAGAGCTCTCTCGGGGTGTCTGTTGTGGGGAAGGGAAAGGAGATTGTAAAAGGTTCTGCTTAACTAAAGAACATGGATAGCTAAATATGTATACTTATTGTGTTTGTGTAAGAAAATATTTGTGAACAGCATGGATTCAGGTGGGTAGCCACGTTGGCCTGAAGCGGCGGAACAAAGCTTGAGTCCAGTGGGGCACCTTTTAAGGCCAACCGAGTTTTATTCAAGGTGAAACAGAATTGACTCGACCATCACATACCATATGGTGGTAAGTTGCCAGGAAGGGCTGATTAGAATCGATTTGCAGCAGTAACTGAGCGATTATAGCGGAGGCTGGCTTAAGGCGTTGGGTAAAATCTGTGAATGGCAGTAAATTGGCGTACGAATACAAGAATTAAACAGATGTGAGAACAAACAGGTGCGAGAAGGCACCACTGGACTCAAACGTCCGCTCTCACATCTTTAGGTCATCTCATATCTGTATGTGTCATCCAGACGCATCCTGTATAAGGTCTGGGCCTGGGGATTTTGCCCTTTCTCTCCTTAATTTTTAAAATTCTTGTAATGGCTACTAGATTAACTGGGAAGCTGACACTATGGCTTGTTGTCATTTGGCTTGACCTCACAAAAAAGGTATTGCATGGTTTTGTGCCCAGTACGGCTGTTAGGAAGGGAAGGTCTAGCCGGTTCTCAGAAGCTAAGCGGGGTCAGTGCGCGACAAGGTGCGCACGCACACGAACGCTCACACCTTGTGTGACGAAATGGCTGCCAGGCCTTAAAATGGACGCCAGCCTGGTCATTCCTTCCGTGTGGGTGGGTACTCCATGGGGAACAATGGAGCTGCCCTACCTCCCTGCCTACACTTCCCAGCATCCCTGAGGGGAAAGAGCGGGAAAAGAGGGCCACACCCCAGGGGCGGGGCCAAGGAGAAAGGGGCTTTTTGGCTCCTGAGGGGGAAAAGAGTCAGTCTCAGCCTGGTCTTCTGCGTGGATTGCAGGTTCTAGTGAGAGCGCAGGTGGGACTCCTGTCACCAGAGACTCTGTGGGCAGTGCAGGCCACTATTGACCGTGGTGGAGAGCCAGGATGGTGGCAGTGCTGGTGGCCAGTCCTGTGGAGGAGCAGGGCTGGAGTTTCTCTCCCCAACAGGAGGGGGAAATGCAAATCCGGGCCTGAGGCCACCACCCACTACAGGGGTAGAGAGAGGGGTGTGTGGGCAGGGACAGAGGACTCGCGTTTTTATCCTGTTTATTTTCTGTGCCCCAGTTGTGTTGAAGTGCCAGTGTTTATTTTCTGTGCCCAATATGTATATCGTTAAATAAATCTTCCTTTTTTGAGTTAAGGCCTGGTGTGCCTTAACCACAGGGTCCTCCCCGCTCTGCACGTTACCAGGGGCAAAGGTAGGCCAGGGAACACAAACGGGCCTAGATCTGTGGGGTTGCCAACTCTCCAGGGGGCGCCCAAAGATTGAGGTACCTGCTTCCCAAGGTGGGGGATTTAGCCAGAGGGGTCTCACTGACCCTCAAGGAAGGCAGTAACTCAATTCAGTGAGTGGCGGCAGTGTTAATAAAGAGAAATAGTCCCACCAGGCAGGGTGGGAAGGCCCAAACGGGCTTGCGAGCCACAGGACGGCACCTCAGTCTCCCAGGGCTGAGGGC